TTTATTTTGAAGTCGGTTGTACAAAATCTTTAATTTTAAATTATTGTAATATATGGCAGAGTGGGTGGTACAGTCCGAACCCCTTTTCATTTAATTAAAAAAAGTCGTAGCAAAGTTTAGTGTTTTCTTAAATGTTATACCCTAAAATGTTAAATTTTGCTTTTACGTTATAATAATATTATTTTTGAATTTTATTGTTTATTGATGTATAGTGAAATAGTAGAAGTAGCCCTATTTTATACCGACTTCAAAAAGTAGACGGTATTCAATTCGACTGTGTTTTTTTTAATTTTTTTATGTGTTTTCCTATCAACCGATTTCAATGATTCTTTTTTTATTTGAATGCTGGCACTTTACGTTTGGTCCCATATAAATTAGATCAAGGTTTGACAAATATTTTTTGAGTTATTCTTAATAGTTTATTTTGAAGTCGGTTGTACAAAATCTTTAATTTTAAATTATTGTAATATATGGCAGAGTGGGTGGTACAGTCCGAACCCCTTTTCATTTAATTAAAAAAAGTCGTAGTAAAGTTTAGTGTTTTCTTAAATGTTATACCCTAAAATGTTAAATTTTGCTTTTACGTTATAATAATATTATTTTTGAATTTTATTGTTTATTGATGTATAGTGAAATAGTAGAAGTAGCCCTATTTTATACCGACTTCAAAAAGTAGACGGTATTCAATTCGACTGTGTTTTTTTTAATTTTTTTATGTGTTTTCCTATCAACCGATTTCAATGATTCTTTTTTTATTTGAAAGCTGGCACTTTACGTTTGGTCCCATATAAATTAGATCAAGGTTTGACAAATATTTTTTGAGTTATTCTTAATAGTTTATTTTGAAGTCGGTTGTACAAAATCTTTAATTTTAAATTATTGTAATATATGGCAGAGTGGGTGGTACAGTCCGAACCCCTTTTCATTTAATTAAAAAAAGTCGTAGTAAAGTTTAGTGTTTTCTTAAATGTTATACCCTAAAATGTTAAATTTTGCTTTTACGTTATAATAATATTATTTTTGAATTTTATTGTTTATTGATGTATAGTGAAATAGTAGAAGTAGCCCTATTTTATACCGACTTCAAAAAGTAGACGGTATTCAATTCGACTGTGTTTTTTTTAATTTTTTTATGTGTTTTCCTATCAACCGATTTCAATGATTCTTTTTTTATTTGAAAGCTGGCACTTTACGTTTGGTCCCATATAAATTAGATCAAGGTTTGACAAATATTTTTTGAGTTATTCTTAATAGTTTATTTTGAAGTCGGTTGTACAAAATCTTTAATTTTAAATTATTGTAATATATGGCAGAGTGGGTGGTACAGTCCGAACCCCTTTTCATTTAATTAAAAAAAGTCGTAGTAAAGTTTAGTGTTTTCTTAAATGTTATACCCTAAAATGTTAAATTTTGCTTTTACGTTATAATAATATTATTTTTGAATTTTATTGTTTATTGATGTATAGTGAAATAGTAGAAGTAGCCCTATTTTATACCGACTTCAAAAAGTAGACGGTATTAAATAACTTAATGTAAACATCATGTTAGAGTTTGATTTATTTTGATTTTAGTTATTAGCTATGTTTACAGAAGCTATATATTATGTTCCACACCTTATACTTATACTATATAATTACACTTCTATACTTTAGGTAGGGGTCCAGTAATCTGCAAAGACACTAGTGCCATCTTATGCGATATCCGCATAAACATTCGAACATTAAATTCTAAATGATGCGCTAGATGGCGATTACATCAATTCTGGTTATTGGGTATGGAATTTAATGGAATTCTCTAAAGTTGTAACATTAATATAAAGGATTAATAACTATACGGACATTCCAAAGCCTAATTAAAATATTTTTTTGTCGGTCTGAGATGCAATAAGTTTCTCGATTTGGCAAGTGGCAACTTTATTACTTAATCACTTAATGGCTACTTGGCCTAAAGGTCTAGATACTAGGCCATAAATTCCAAAAAAAAAAACGATGGCTACCGCTACCGGCGTATGAGCCATAGATAAAAATAAATAAATATGTAGCAAGGTATGAGCAAGTTCTTGTTTTCACGAACGCTTTTGCCATTTATGCGATTTTCGGTTGTTGCTGCAATAAGTTTGGTTGAGTTGAGATTAGCTCTCCTCCCGTCTTATTGATTAGTTTTTCATGCTGGAACCACATTGTATGTTACGTGTAGTGTTGTGCGAAATATAGACGCTTTCATTTATCATTCCGGTAACCCGGTACCAATATTTAATTTGGTTTGGTCATAGAATTATTACGCATAGAATACTAGTACGCGCACCGAAAGTGAAGCAAGTAAAACTAACTCGAAACCGCGTTAGTTCACTCAGCGACGCGTCAGTGCGCAACGTCACGTCTTACGGAGAAGAGCTCGCGAAAAATTGTAAAAATTACCGTTTGTGTTGTAAAATATTGTCACAACGGTGATGATAAACATAAAAGAAGTAATGGTATTACATTTCACATATAAGTTTATACATTTAATTCATTATAAGTACGTAAAACTAAAAAAATACTTACCTAAGCTCTCATAATACAAATGTTGCTAGTTGTGGGGAAAAAATCACAATTTTCTTTTAAAAATATTTATTTTCTATTTGTGTTTAAAACGTTTAATCGCAACGCTCTGTGTAAAACTCAAATGTTTATATATAGATACCTACTTCTCTAAGCGTTAACATTATATTAGCAATGGGTGTCTATTTAAAATTAATACGGAATGATCAGTTAATCGCGATTCGTCGACGCCATTTTAACGCGACTATTTTATTTTAATTTGATTTTTTAATGACTAAGGTTACGTTTTAGGGTATAGAATAAAAACTTTTTTATTTACAACATCATGAGATTATTAATAAGAACGCCTTTACTAACCAGATGTCACTTTACACCCAAACATTAACCAGATGTTACGTTAGACCCAAACATAGCCTATTTTTCTAGCAGTGGTAGAGCCACGCGGCAGCTTTTGCTGTCGCACGGATGGGCCGGCTCGAACCGGGGTGGTACCACGACCTCACAGAAAACCAGCGTGAAGTAGAGGTTTACCTCTGCGTTTCGCTTGGTGAGTGCAGGTGGCCGGAGGCCCTTTTTACTGGAAATGAGGCATTCCATCTTAGTCCTCACGGGTGACAACGCATCTACATATTGATTTGTAATAGAGGATAGATGTAGATGTCTATGGGCCGCAGTAACCACTTACCATCAGGTGGACTGTGTGCTCGTTTGTCACCCTTATCGTATAAAAAAAAAATTTAACCGACTCCCAAAAAGAAAGGTTATCAATATGTATGTACACTGATTTCTAAGCTTGATCAATTCGTATAATACAAGCAATACATGCTGAAATTTTAGTGGTTGCTGTCCCGCAGCCAAATTATACTGTCTCGATAGTAGAGTCAATTTATTAAATTAAAAAATATTACAATTAAAAAAGGGCAGATTTACTATAGTAATACCTCACAAGCTATTCGGGCGTCCAAACTAGTTTATGTCGTATCACTACGCTTGAGAATTCATGTTATGAACATTTATTAGTGGTCCTTCACTTTGTAGGAAGCGCGCGGTAGCACGGGCGATAGATGTAACACTACATAACGTCCAGCGAATTTTTTTCAAACTTTATTATAGTAATTCGGTATAAGCTAGCCTGTACGCCCGACCTACTTGCGAGATATTGCTTACTGGTTTGAGATCGCATTCGAGTATTGTTTTTCTCGATTGTAAATCTGCCATTTTTACATCTATTCTATTGTACTACTAAGGCAAAGTCATTTTACTTCGGGAAAACAACCATTAAAATTTCAGCGTGTGTATTGGATCAATCTGTGTGTATATCCTTTCAAAAAAATCTAAATTGGTTTAGAAATTGTAGAATTAAAAAACATTAAAAAATACACCGAATTGATAACCTCCTCCCTTTTTGAAGTCGGTTAAAATTAAACATTACACGATGTGCTTATTGTATTCGAGCAAATTAATTGTGTTTAATAATATTCTTAAATTTTATTACGTATGCATTTTTTACCATTAATATATGTATAATAAAGTTATATTAGTAACATCATTATTGTGTTTATTTTATTCCATTTTATATTCTCATAAAATACTTCTACTAAATAATCTTCGTACATAATACGTAATCTTTATTATATCGATTTTTTAAAATTAACCAAAAAATAGTGATTTGCACAATTTGATTGCAAACGCCAGAAACTGGTATCACTGAATGGGGTGTATGTGTGCGTGTGACGAGCGTAGGCACATTCGACTCGCGCCCACTAACATAATGACTTTGCATCATTTTAACGCTCGTGTTTTGTACTGGACTGCGTTTCTATGCGTAATAATTCTATGGGTTTGGTGTTGTATTGTCCGGAATAGACGCTTTAACATCTTGTTTGTTAAAATGCCGAGGCATTGTGCTATTGGATGTAAACCCACTGGTGAGTATATCTTATTTTCTAATCGTGAAAATTAGTTTTACCTAATTGTTACCTCGAAGCTCGAAGAACCGACAACCGATGGGAAAAAGGGGCTTAGCTTTCCATTGACTCTCATCGAGTTTGGTGTATTTTACTTACTTATAATACGTATTTTTACAGAAAGGTTACATTTTTATAAGCACGCACACAATATTTAAATATGTGGAAACACGTACTTTTTGAGAAATAAATTAATGAAAATCACTTATTTTAACAATATTTTGTTGTTTTTTTAATTGGCTTTACGGCTCTGGGTTCTAGCCCCTTTTGAGCCTATTTTATTACGAATTTCCATTGACATTCGTCGAATTGAGGGGGGAGGGGGGGGGGGGGGAGAGAGGAGGTGTAGGGGGACTAATTCAGATGGATTTCTGTATCTATTTAAGACTGCAACGTCTCCGGCGCTGCGGGAAGAGCAGCCTCTAAGCCTTTGCGTAACAAATCGCAGGCATCTCTCTGAGAGGCTGCTCTTCACGCAGCGCCGGAGACGTTGCAGTCTCAATGAATCTCAACGAATGATGATGATTAAATGTTAACTATGCTTTACAAATTTTAGACCTGTCACATACGGTCTAACACATCTTTAATGAAATTAATCTTAATAATTTTTGTAGTTGCATTTGGACACAATCTCGCCTGATGGTTATTAAATAGCATTCTTATGTCTTCTATGGTTAGGGCTGCCATCACCTATATTGCTTATACCGGATACAAACTTTAAAAACTCCAGATTTTTTATTGAAATTTAGCTTTTCCCTGGTTACCCTTTAAGTAAAAAACAAGTATAAATTTTAATTTATTTATTTTTACCAATTAGTCTTCCGACGGATAGCAGCCCTGCTTCGTATCTACACCGAGTGTATGCCAAAAATTCTCAGGGATGTTAGACTTGACCAGGCAAGGACTCACAGAATACCAGCATAAAAAAGCTTAATGTTTCCATGCTTTATATAATATTTGGCTAACCTGTTATGTTGTTTGATATTTCAATTTTTTTTTTCAGGGGGTGTACTTCATGTTTTTCCTAACCCTAACAAGTTCCCAGAGCAGTTCAAAGCGTGGGTTCGGATTGTTAGTGGTAAAGACGAATGTGATTTCGATTACAAAAAAATGAGAATTTGTGATAAACACTTCACTGAAAAGGATCGGAATCGTAACAACCGCCTGAATGCACTAACAGTCCCATCACTTTTTCTGCATGGTACGTAAATTCGGATATTTATTATTGCCAATATTAACCCCTTGACATACAATGACATCTCGAAGACGTCATTCATTTCATGAGCCATTGTAGACTTTGACGTCTTCGATATGTCAGGAACTGTCTTTGGTGAACACCAAAGGGCAGTATATTATTAGATTATCTGTTTCGGTTGTGGATCAATGCTGTTTTGTTTGAAATCTTGTAGATGTTTTCCTCTTCTCATATCAGTACTGATAAAAAAATCAGCAAACAGGTTAAGAGAAAGAAGCGTAATGAAAGCTATAGTCATTATATACCTTGCACACCAATCGCCACAGCACAATTAGCACATATATATTTGAATTTTGTAAAAATCTGAAAAAAGATGTGCATATAATAAGCATGAAATACTCATAAGCAGAAATGTTTTATACGGGGATAATAAGAAGAAAAAATGGAGGCAAAGAGGACTGTGTTGAAATCGACCTGACTTTGTCTTGTCTTGCATGTTTCTCTCTCATGCGAAAGTGTGTAAAAGGATATAAAAAAAATATTTTTTATGTTTGATATAGCTATTTATAATACCTTCGTATTATATTCAAAGTTGCCTACTTCACAAAAGCTATCGATTGTGAATTTCTAATTGAATATTGCAGAAGGTATGCTTTGTAATTTGTCTCTTCCGAACTATCCGACACACGACACACCGACGCAAAGTGAATGCCCAACTCTTCTGTTATATTGTCTTATTTACTGTAGTAAGAAAGTAGAATTTACAGCAAAATTTTTGACAGTATATATTATCAATTATCAATATTTTCAGGCAGTCATGCTGATGTGCCAATGCAAAATGAACAAAGTGGCTCAACAAACTTAATGTCCGAACAATCTCTAGGTCAACCTGAAGTATCTGCCAATAATCAGTCCACGTCAGGTATGTTTGCTATTTTATATATTTTAGTATTAGTACTACAATCTACAACTATCGGTGAATACCATAAATTATAAGTAATAAAAACTTAGAATTTATAACTAATAGCATTAATGTAAAAGTAACTGTCTGTCTGTTACCTTTGACTATCAAAAGACTGAACCAAACTCAAGCTTATTTACAATTTAAAAACATATCATGTAATACACAAAAAAATATACAGCAAAATTGATAACCTTTTTTGAAGTGCGTTAAAAATATTGCGAAGTTATTCAAGGTCATAAGCTATAATCTTGCCTACATTTATAAAAACCTATGCAGTAGTTTCAATTTTCAAAGGGACGGACAGACAGAAAAAAATAAAAAATAGGCTTCTACAAAAATAAAGAAGTATTAAAATATTTATTCAAAGATTTGGCCTAGGAACAGTTTTATAATAATATGTATAACTTTACTGTAACACCATTAAAAGAAAAATTACAAAAAATAAATGAAAGTCCATCTTATAATCTAGCGGTACAGTGTTTATTATTTGATATAGAAAACATGAAAATAGCCTTTATTTCCAGGTTTCATTTATTATTATACAGGGTGGCCCATAAGTCCCTTGAAATGTAAAAAAATAATTAAAAAAAAACTAATGACATTATGAAAAAGGTTTTTATTTTGTCATAATCCTTATAAAATGGGAATTATTTTTTGAAAATTACATCATCTAAATGTAATCCGTTACGATCGCGGCACTCCTGTAAGCGACGTTTAAAATTATCCATCACTGCGTGGCAAGTAAGCTCTGTAATGTTTGCCATTTCTCTTTGGATATTTTCTTTCAGGACGTCAATTGTCCGCGGGTTGGTTTCGTACACTTTAGTCTTAAGATAACCCCATAAGAAAAAGTCCATTGGGGTCAGATCTGGACTACGTGGTGGCCAAGGAATATCTCCTCTTCGAGAGATCACTTTATTAGGGAAAAGTTGACGGACGACCGGCATAGCGACGTTAGAGGTATGGGCAGTTGCTCCATCTTGTTGAAACCAGGTCCGCGTATTGAAGCCTGGAAAATTCTGCAACTCTGGTGTAAAAAAGTCCTGGATCATAGCTACATACCGTTGTGAAGTAACAGTAAGCGCGCGGCCTCTGCCGTCCTCAAAAAAGTAAGGGCCTATAATGCCATGCGCTGACATAGCCGCCCAAACTGTCACTTTAGGGCTATGTAAGGGCTTTTGATGTTTGCGATTTGGATTTTCGCAACTCCAGTAGCGACAATTTTGCTTATTGACATGGCCGTTGATGTGAAAGTGAGCCTCATCAGAGAATAACACGTTATTAAACGAAGTAAAGCGGTTCAACATTTCATTTGCGAAATTTAGTCTGTGGATAGTGTCAGTATCTTTTAATTCCTGTACTAACTGAATCTTGTACGGGTGAAGATGTAAATCTTTCTTTAAAATTCGCTGTAACGATGTTCTGGGTAAGTTTAATGCACTGGAACGCTTACGAGTAGACTGGGTAGGATTTTCACGAATTGAGTGTTTCACTACATCGATGTTTTCTTCCGTCCGTGATGTCCTTGGTCGACCTGACCGTTGTTTATCCAACGTCGAACCACTCTGTTCGAACTTAATAACCCAGTTCTTAATCGTTTGAACACTTGGAATGTCTTTAAAGTTGCGTAAATTCTGATATTCTCGAAATTTACGCCGCGCAATGGTAGCCGAATCATTGTTTCGATAAAACTCGCGCACACAAAATGCACGGTCCGCACCGGTGAAACGCTCCATGGCGACTGAATTCCCAGAAACCGTCGGTACTCCCCCCGCACCGCGCGCGCCACTCATGCGCGCCTTTTGTATTTTATTCGAAATTTACATTTCTAACGACTTATGGGCCACCTGGTATTTTAAAAGTTTCTATATTATATCACATAATTCAGTGTGCTTTTTAATTTAGGCCTCCTCCAACTTCTATTGTTATCTTTCAGCTGCCACTCTTGTCCAAAATGGTTATAAGAGTCGCCTTTAGATTTTTCCCATTATCTTGTGGATATTTTCTTTAGTATTGTTTTTTTTTTTCATTCATTACAGCCCTTCACAAGTCCACTGCTGAACATAGGCCTCCCCCAAAGAATGCCACAAAGCACGGTCCTGAGCCACCTGCATCCATCGACTTCCTGCAAATCTTACCAGGTCGTCACTCCATCTAGTGGGGGGACGCCCTACACTTCGCCTGCCGGTACGAGGCTGCCACTCGAGAACCTTTCTTCCCCATCGGTTGTCGGTTCTTCGAGCTATATGGCCGGCCCATTGCCACTTCAGCTTACTAATCCGTTGGGCTATATCGGTCACTCTAGTTCTACTGCGGATATCCTCATTTCTGAGTTTATAACGCAGAGAAACTCCGAGCATAGCCCTCTCCATAGCTCGCTGAGCGACCTTGAGCTTCCTCATCCGGCCAGCAGTGAAGGACCACGTCTCAGTTCCGTATGTCATCACTGGCAACACGCACTGGGTGTACAGTCTCGTTTTCAAGTTTTGAGGTATACCTGACGAGAAGATGTGCCGTAATTTCCCGAACGCTGCCCAACCGAGTTGAATCCGTCGATTGACCTCTCGGTCGAAGTTGGACTTACCTAGTCGGACTATTTGTCCCAGGTAAACATACTCGTCAACAACTTCGAGCTTAGTGTTCCCAACAACTACCGGCATAGGTGTGACATGGACATTAAACATGATCTTTGTTTTGTCCATGTTCATCTTAAGACCTATCCGTTGGGAAACACTATTGAGGTCATTGAGCATAGTGCTTAGGTCCTCCAGCGATTCTGCCATAAGGACTATATCGTCGGCAAATCGAAGGTGAGTGATGTACTCGCCATTGATGTTGATACCGTATCCTTTCCAGTCCAGAAGCTTGAAAACATCTTCCAATGCAGCGGTAAAGAGTTTCGGGGATATGACGTCACCCTGTCTTACACCTCTCTGCAATTGGATAGGTTTCGTACTCTGGTTCTGTACTCGGATAGCCATCGTAGCCCTACTGTACAAGCACTTCAACACTTCGATATACCGACAGTCAACTTGGCATCGCTGAAGGGACTGCAGCACCGCCCAAATTTCGACGGAATCAAAGGCTTTCTCATAGTCCACATACGCCAGACATAGTGGCAAATTGTACTCCTCGGACTTCTGTACAATTTGCCGAAGGGTATGTATGTGGTCTATGGTGCTAAAGCCTTTTCGGAAACCGGCTTGTTCAGGAGGCTGGAAGTCGTCATGTCTGCGTACAAGACGATTCGTAATGACGCTCAAAAACAGCACGTAGATGCGGCTTAGTAGGGAAATCGATCTGTAGTTCTACAAGATAGCGTTGTAGCCTTTCTTGAAGAACAAGACCACCGCACTTCTGCTCCACGCCTCCGGAGTAGTGCCACCATGGAGTACGGAATTAAAGAGCTTCTGAAGGACTTCAAGTACCGGTTTACCACCCGCTTTCAAAAACTCCGCTGTAATTCCATCCTCGCCCGAGGACTTTCCGTTTTTAAGGTGCTGGAGAGCCATTCTAATCTCGCTCAGACTGACGTCCGGGATATCATCGGAATAATGTCGGATAAGACTCGCTCTTGGATCGTTACTCACACTTGCGTGCGGCTCCAACGATGACGTGTACAGCTGCCCATAGAACCTCTCAATCTCACTCAAAATCTCAGGTGCCCCGGAAACGATGCTGCCACATTCTGTCTTCAGCTTTGACAGTTGGCGCTTTCTGGCAGACAGATCTCTGGCAAAGACTTTGGAGCCTTGGTTCCGCTCGATCGCTTCTTCAATACGAGCTGTATTGAATTTGCGTAAGTCCCGCCGCATGCATTTGGAGATCTGTCTGTTCAGTTGCCTGTATGCTGTTAAATCTGTTGAAGAATGTAGCTTCATCTCCCGTCTAACAGCCATGAGATTAAGAGTGTGATCGGAGAGTTTTTGTGTTCTTCTGCGGCGGGTCTTGCAGAACTTAGCTCCGACCGCATGGACAGTTTTCACGAGCTTGTCATTCAAATCGTCCACTTCATTGCAGTCTTCTAGGCACTGAAAACGGTTTTGTAACTCGAGCTGAACGGCTTCGGGACTTTGGATTAGAGCACGAGGGGGACGGAGCGTTGACTTCATTAGACGAGACCTCTCCAACTTAACGTTTAGGTTCAGTGTGCCTCTAACCATTCGGTGATCGCTGCCGGTTTTCACCCTCGCGATCACTGAGACATCACTGAACAGTTGTCGTCTGGTCGTCATAATGAAGTCAATCTCATTTTTTGTCGAACCGTCGGGGCTCGACCAGGTCCACTTCCTGTGGGGCCGCTTCTGGAAGAAAGAGTTCATCATAAAGAGTCCCTCTTTCTCCATGAAGTCGGCCAGCTGCTGGCCCCTTGGGTTCCGTTGCCCTATTCCAAATTTCCCTACTTTCAGCTCACCGTTCTCTCTTGTGCCTAGTTTTGCATTGAAGTCTCCCATTAACACCGTATATTGGGTTTTGGAGGAATGCATGGCTCTAGAGATATCCTCATACATTTCCTCCACCTCCTGATCGGGGTGTGCCGAGGTTGGTGCGTAAACCTGTATGACCTTCAGCGAATACCGTTTGGTGATTCTGAGTATAAGGTACGCAACCCTCGTCGACACACTCTCAATCTTTACAACGTTGTTAACGAGAGACTTGTGGACGATAAATCCGACACCTCCTTGGGACAGATGGTCGCCCTCCCGGTAATAGAGCAAGTTGCCGGATTCGAGGATTACCGTGTCCTCCCCCTCTCTTCGGACTTCGGATAATCCTATAATATGCCAGCGTAACTTGTCTATCTCTTCTTCCAGCTCCACAATCTTCTCGTCAGTCCTCAGGGTGCGTGCGTTGTATGTTGCCAGGTCGAGTCGTCGTAGGTGGCAACCGAACCTCCACCGGAGATTCTTAGCACCCCCTGCCCCGCCGTTACCATGGTCGCCACCGTAGCCAGGAATAGCGGGGCGCCGGGGACTGGGGGCCGTTTATTATTGTTATTGCTCATGGGGGGTATATTGCCATAGTTGCCACGCTTGGCGAGCGGGTTGGCAACCGCAGTTTTTTTATTGTTATTTTGGCTATTATCAGGAAGATGCTGCTGCCCATCTCCTGCCTGTTTCCCTTTGTCGCCTTTTACGACACCCACGGGAAGATATGGGGTAGTGGATATTCTTAACCGCCACTACACGGCAGTAAACGGCGGTATTGTTTACTAATTAATATTTTAATGAACAATTTTTATTTTTCAGACGATGTTGTTGATGTGCAGACACAAATTAAAGCATGTTTCCAGATAAGCACAATGATTGAACAATCTGCTGGTCAACCTAACAATCATCAGTCTGCATTATGTAGGTAGTTTGCTATTTTATATTTTTTTTAATATACTAATAATCAGTTATATTTGATGAGATGTCGATTACACCTCAAATTCCATCAACATATTCTCTGCAACTATCTGTGAGTCAATAAAATCATTTCAAAAAGTAGTTTAATAAAATCTACCATCTTTTCAGATCAACCTTCTGATGTATCTTTTGATCCCCTGGTGGAGCATAATTATTGTAAAGTCTCAAAGGAGCATCATAAAATAAAAAGTAAGGATAAACTTTCATTTAACATATCTATACTTTGTAGTGACCGTGTAAAATCATTTATTACTCCATATCCCCGTGTCTCATAAGAGGAGACAGAGAGAAACTGAAACATGAGATGGGCAGCAGTATTTTACTCTTAACAACTGAAAACAATAAAAACTGCAGTTGACCCTTGTCGTAAATGTCATAGTGCACACACAACACTGATTTGATCACCGCCACCACAAACATTGTGAGGAAGTAGTATAAGAGGAAAACGTTTGAGAAATTAGATTAATTTCAAAATGATGTGGATTTCACCAACATGTTTTTTTGAGGCAGCAGGGGGACATTTCCTTGCCTTATACATAGGATGCAATTTTACCTTTTTTTAGAGAAAATGACATCCCAACTGTATTTAAATAACTCCCCTTAGAAACCTGATAACACTGACCTAGAGTTTGAACTCAGGACCTCATGATCGGCAGTCGCGCTTGCGACTACTAGACCAATGAAGTCATTCAATTCATTTTCATTATAATTGCAAAAAATAGATGCAACAGTAAAATTTAATAATATGTTAAGTAGTGGTCATACTTGACCTAATTACAAAAATAAAAATATAAACTTCTAATTGCAATAATGTACTATTTTAATTCATTGTATTATTTAAATTACAGGCCGAAAAAGTAACTTACCATCAGTGGTAACATCTGAAAAATATAGAGTCTACCAAAAAAATATAAAGAATTTAAGAAGACTGATTTATCGTCTTGGAAAACAGGGAAAAGGCATAAAGTCACCTCTAAAAAATGCAGAAAAATTATTTAATAAATCTGATTTTCGAAAATTTGTAAAAGATATGAAACCAGCAGCAAAACTTTTTGCGAACATGCAGTATTATCAAGCCCAGAAGAAACCAACTGGTCGGCGTTTTAAAATTGAAGAGAAAATTCTTTCTCTTTCTTTATTTAAAAGAAGTCCGAAATGTTATGCCCTAATGTCAATATATTTTATACTTCCTTCGACCAAGTCTTTAAAGCAGTTGCTTGCGAAAATTGAACTTGGTGCTGCCATTAATGAAATGGTTTTCAAAAAACTCCGCAAAACTATCAATAATTTTGACACTCAAGATAAACTGTGTACAGTTATATTTGATGAGATGTCAATTACACCTCAAATTCAATATGACTCATCGAAAGATGAATTAAAAGGATTTGCTAGTCATGGTAAAAATCAAATAGCAAACCACGCTCTCGTATTTATGATAAAAGGCATAAGAAGACAATATAAACAACCCGTTGCATATTATTTTACAAATTCATTAAATAAGTTTGAATTAAAAACAATTATAAAGGAAGTCGTCAATGTTCAGAAAAGTGAATTAGTTGTATTAGCTACTGTTTGTGATCAAAGTACAGTAAATGTGGGAGCCATTGAGAAGCTAATAAAAGAAACTAAAGCCAACTATTTAAGGAAAGGGAACAATATTAATAATTTTTACGTGGTAGAGCCATGCTGCAGCTATATTAGTAGTATAGTTGTAGCACGAATGGGTCGGCTCGACCGGGGAAGGACCACGCTCTCACAGAATACCAGCGTCAAATAGCAGCTTCAGGCTGCTGTGTTTCGTATGGTGAGTGTAGAGAACCGGAGACCCTATTTACTGGAAAAGAGGCATTCCATCTTAGTCCTCACGGCTGGCAACGCATCTGCATTTTAATTCGCAAACGATGATAGATGTAGATGTCTACGGGCCATAGCAACCACTTACCATCAGGTGCACTGTGTGCTCGTTTGTCACCCTATCCTATAAAAAAAATATGGCTCATAATTTTTTTGAGCTAAATGGAAAAAAAATATTCGATTATATGATGTCCCTCATTTATTGAAAGGATTGAGAAACAACCTCCTGACAAAAATATGTCATATATTGATTATGGAGATGGCAATAAAACAAAAATAGTAAAATTGGAGTACCTACAGCAATTGTAATCAGCAGATAAATATTTTGGTGAGCTGAGATGCCTCCAAAAACTTACATGTACATGTAGTTCCCGATAAGAAAAAAAAAAAACAAAACAAAAACACAGATATTTAGTCATAGTGTTGCAGTTACTACTGAACACTTGACAGCCAGGGGATATTTACCCGCAGAGTGTCGGGACCTTATTCCAATTACATTAATATTAGACAACTTATTTGATAGCATGAACTGTAATACATTTACAATCTCAAATGGAAAAATTTACAAGGGGCCTGTAAGAAGGTCTACACCACACCATCAGCTGTGGCAAAAAGCTGTAAAATATTTAAAAAGTATTAAATTTCATACTTGCAAGAAAGTGGGTAATAAAATTCGAATACGTGAAATAGTTGTACCATCTATGACAAATTTTGTTAAAACTATAGAAGGCATTCAAGAATTGTGGAAAATTTTATCACAAAAATATTCTTATGATTCAATGTTCACGAGAAATTTCAATCAGGGCCCACTTGAGAATTTCTTCGGAAGTATCAGAAATTGCGGGGCAAGAAACACTGCACCTAATTCAGTAGCATTCAAAGGTGCCTTTAAAACTCTTTTTCTAAATAATTTAAGTGCATCACATTCACCGAAGTCAAATTGTGAAGAAGATAAAAATAGTTTTTTACAAACTTTGGATTTATTTGTAATAAAAACTGCCCCAGAATATGATATCTCCGAAGAAAGGGATACTCAAACTGCTTCAGACTGTATGTACAGATTTTTTAAATTATGACAGAGCCAGTGATTTAGGTCATAGAGATTATGTGTGTGGTTGGGTCTTGAGGAAATGTCTCAAAAATATAATAAAAGAATGCAAAACATGTAGAGAACACATGCTAAATATAAATAACACAGAAAAAAATTCATATATTAAAGCAAAAGAATATTTATTTTTCAAATAAAAAGTTACTATGTTATCCATCAAATCAGTTGCATGAATGCTTTTTTGACAACCAAAATATACGTGTTTCACATTGCAATAAAGATGTATAAATATCCTCATAAAGGATTAAAAAATTCTGTCAAAATACATGGAGATATTTTTATAGAATACCCATTTAAATGTGAAACACATAAAACAAACTTAAATCAACATTTCACAGATGTTACAATTAATATAATACTTTACAGTTGGTGTAGATCAATTTATCGAATTTTAGCTGGTAAGCGCACATATGTGGGTCATGATGAAATGGAATTGTATGCTCAGCAATATTATAATAAGCACCAACATAAAAGTAATAAATGAAATAATTATCAATCGAATATTTTTATTTAATGGCTGTATTATATAAGATTTCTGTTTTGTAAACATTCATTGGATTTTTTTTACAGAATATTGAATTTAATATTTTTATACTTAACCAATATAAGAAACCTATTTGCTTAAATAAAAATAAGAATATTTTGGTATAAATAGCAATATAACAAAAATAAATGTTTAAATTACTGAAATCAATAATACATCTTTAATAGAACCCTAATTCCTTAAAATGCATAAGCATAACTACATATAACTATATATAGTCAAAATATTGAGATTAGTTCAACGGATATGATATCAGACGGCGACACTGTGCCACTATTCGTATTGAGTAAAAAAATCCTAGATGGCTCTCATTCCGGTATATATTACTCTACTTTATGATAAGTCTGTTGTACTGTTCGGTATTTATCATAAATAGATAAGCTGGTAGTGTAGAAAAAGTGGTGTCGGTCGGTGTATAAAACGTAGTGATTATATATACATACAACTTTATAATTTGTGATTATATACTCTGGGTGTTTTATAAGGTAGGTTCTCTGTGATTATAAATTATATGGGCTAAATATCTCGCTTTTAAATCAAAGGAAAAAGTTAGATATAAAAATTAATGGACTGTTCACACTATCTATATTACCTACGCTAAGTTTTATGAAAATGTATATAGTTCAGAGGAGATAGCATAATAAAATTTGTGTAGTCAAGGATAAATAAGTGAATTGTGCTACAACTCTGCCCCAATGATTATACCGATGAAATAAACAAATATTTTTTTTATTTGCAAGAAACGTGGAAACAGGAGATAGTAAACAAGTTACAATTTAGCCGAACACATTTCACCGCTTGTGGTATGCTAATAAATATCATACACAAAGTCAATGAATTATTTAATTTCCAGTATACAACAGCACAAATAACTACCATGATCTTATCATTTTGTCCTACAGAGGACCATACTCGCCATATCACAAATCACAAACCCAATCCACACAATCTTTGTACCTAATTATAACTTTATACATGGTAGAGCCATGCTGCAGCTATAATATTAGTAGTATAGTTGTAGCACGAATGGGTCGGTTCGAAAGGGAAAGACCACGCTCTCACAGAATACCAGCGTAAAATGGCAGCTTGACACTGCTGTGTTTCGTATGGTGAGTGTAGAGAACCGGAGACCCATTTTACGGGAAAAGAGGCATTCCATCTTAGTCCTCACAGGTGACGATGCATCTGTATTTTGATTCTTTATTGAGGATAAATGTAGATGTCTATGGGTCACAGCAACCACTTACCATCAGGTGGACTGTGTGCTCGTTTGTCACACTATCATAAAAAAAAACTAGATTTGAAATAATTTTGCATTGTTTTGTTTTATAGAAGACAAAATGGCGATAGATCTGTACTACACGCCGGGGTCGGCTCCTTGCCGCGTGGTGCTTTTAGTGGCGGCTGCACTCAACGTCCAGCTGAACCCGCATCTTGTAAATCTTAGAGCTGGTGAACAGCTGCAACCTGACTTCTTAAAGGTATGTTTTATTGTTTTAGTAAGTTTTTTTTTTACGTAAAGAAGTATGACAAATTAGCATACAGTCCATCTGATGGTAAGTGGATGTTGCGGTCCATTGACATCCACATTTATCTTTGATCGAGAATCAAAACGCAGATGTACTACCATCCCTGAGGTCTAAGATGGAATGTCTCGTTTCTAAGGCTGTATTAGGACTTACCGCTAGTTGAGAACTTTTTTTCACATCGGTCATTAGATATGATTTTATCATCATTACAAGTTCACTGCTGAATTTAGGCCTCCAAGGAATGCTATAAAAGACTGCCTTGAGCCATCTCCACCAACTTTCATGTCATACCAGGTTGTCACTCCATTTAGTCGGGGGCCGCTCTACACTTTGCTTACCGGAAGCCTGCCACTCAAGAAGCTCTTCTCGTCGCTTGTCGGTTCTTCGACCTATATATTACTGATCCACTAAACCGACAGTGTCGGTTACTCTGGTATGTGTAGTGAACGATTCGGTCATTTGACCTGGGTTGTGAAAAGTATTGACCGTTCAACACTTTTCATGACCCAGGTCATATCACAATTTTTGACAATCATATTTTAGGAACGATCTGGAATAAACGATGGATAGAACCTCTATAACCTGTGATCTATGATTGACCCTGGCGCGAATTGTGCACGCAATAGTGTTACGCGAATAGGTTTTTTTTGTTTATTATTCAAAATAATCGTGATAATCGTAACGACATAGCTATACTAGTGTTATAAAGCAGAAACGCTTGCGTGTACAAAATCCGAAATGACCCATTTGAATAATTCACCTAAATGACCCGGTTCCTATGGCAAATCAATACTTGAACAATTCAATCACTAGAAATGAACGATTACCAAATGTCTGCAGATATCTATATTACTTATTTTTATCACATAAAGAAACTCCGACTTTGTGTTTGTTACTTAATTCCTCCTAAACGGCTTGAACGATTTTGATGAAGTTTTTACAATTGGACCCGGTAGATGGCGATGTTGTCGAGTTCCGGAAATCACCCGTGTGAAGCCGGAGTTTATCGCTAGTTTAAGATGAATATTTTTCGTCAGGATTCTTTATTGACAATTAAAATTCAAAATATTGTAACACTTCCAGCTTAACCCGCAACACACTGTACCAACGATTGTGGACGACGGTTTCTCCTTATGGGAATCCCGGGCAATAAGCAGATACCTGGTGAACAAGTATGGTGGCGACAGTCCATTATATCCCACAGACCCTAAGGCCAGGGCCTTAGTCGATCAGAGACTTGACTTTGATATAGGCACCCTGTACCCGAGATTCGCACAATACTTTGTAAGTATTTATGTTACTCAAATCTGAAGTACGTTGTTTTTACTAATAATGCTATTAAAATTGTTCATATTTTTATTAATAACTGTAAATAAGCTTAAAATGCTCGATTTAGGAGTGGTGCATATACTTATACACTTTGTTGCTTTGTTATTTATTTTACTCAATATTTCTTTATTGGTTTCTATTAATTACAAATTTTACCATCTACTATAATGTTTCACATCTGCCGAGCATCCCATGACGGCCAATTTTTATATTTAATGAAGGCCGACCAAAAAAAGACCTATATAGATAAGAATCCGTAAGAGATGATGTAATTGTTTCTTTATTTTTAAATAAAACCGGCAAAGTGCGAGTCGGACTCGCGCATCAAGGGTTCTGTACCATCGTGAAACACGTTTCTAGTAGGAGAGCGCCCTTTAATTTTTAATTAATTTTTATTCTTATTATTTGTTGTTATAGCGGCAACAGAAATACACATTCTGTGAAAATTTGAAGTGTCTACCTATTACGGGTCATGAGATACAGCCCGCTGACAGACAGACGGATGAATGGAGAGCAGAGGCTTAGTATTTGGGTCCCGTTGGTTACCCTTTGGGTACGGAACCCTAAAAAGATGTCATAATTCCATTTTAAATATGTAATAATTGAATGAAATTAGGT